CCAGTCTGAGTAACAGATGAGTAAAATGAATAAAGAAATCTGAACAGGGGCCAGTGCTGTGCTGTAGTAGGTTAAGCCTCCACCTGCGGTGCTGGCATCCCATATGGACACCTGTTTGTGTTCCTGCTGCTCCTCTTCCAATCCAGCTTTCTACTTATGGCCCAAGAAAGCACTGGAAGATGGCCCAAGTGCTCCTGGCTCCTGGCTCCAGATCAGCTCAGCTCCAGCTGTTGCAGCCACTTGGGGAATGAACCAACTCACAGAAGACCTTTCTCTCTGCCTCTCCCTCTGGCTGTAACTCTATAATTAAAAAAAAAAAAAAGAAATCTGACAGTGCCTGGGGGACAGTGAGATACCACCAGACATGCCAACATTGCATAATAGAAGTCCCAGGTTTAGAGGTAAAGGGGAAAAGGAAGAAAGAATATTTGAAGAATTGGTAACTGAAAACTTTCCAGATTTGGTTAAAACAGTTCATTTATACAAAGTTCAATGGACGTCAAGCTAAAGTAAAATATATTCGAGTTCCACACTTAGATATACTATATTCACCTGTCAGAAGCTCAAGACGGAGTATATTGAAGGCAGCAGAAGAAAAGCAACTCACAAACCAGGGGAGCCCCAAACAAATTAGCAACTCATTTCTCATCAAAAACCATGGCGCCTAGAGGGCGAAGAGATGACATTTTCAAGTTGCTGAAAGAAAGACTGTCACTAAGAATTCTATATTCAGCAAAAACTATCCTTCAGTTTTTGTTGCTAGCAGACTTGCTCTGTGAGAAGTACGAAAGGAGTCTACAAGAAAGAACACTGGGTTGGGTGGGTATTGTGGTGGTTAAGCTGCTGCTTGGGACACCCTTGTTCCATATTGGAATTCTGTATTGATTCAGATCTTCTACTTCTCTACTTCCAATCCAGCTTCCTGTGAATGCGCCTGGGAAGGCAACAGATGATGGCCCAAGCACTTGAGTCTGTGCTACCCACATGAAAGAGCTGGATGGAGTTCCTGGCTTCAGCCTGGGCCATCTATGGCTGTTGGGGGCATTTGGAGAGTGAACCAGAGGACAAAAGTTCTCTCTGTCTGTATCTCCCTGTTTCTATCACTCTGCCTTTCAAATAGGTAGGTAGGTAGGTAGATGATAGATAGATAGATAGATCAATCGATCCAAGTGAATAAACAAAGACCACCAATAGAGATGGATATTTGGCACAACAGTTAAGATGCTGCTTGGGTCAACTGTATTGGAGTACTCTGTCCAAGTCCTGGCTCTGATTCTGATTCCAGCTTCCTACCAGTGTGCATCTTGGGAGGCACGATATTATGGGTCAAATAGTTGAGTCCTTGCCCCACTGTGGGAGCCCTGGATTGAGTTCTGGGTTGGTGGCTTCAGCCTGGCCTTGCCTTAGCTGTTGAGAGCATTTGGGAATCAAGTGGTGAATTGAAGATCTCTCTCTCTGTCTTGTGGTCTTCAAATAAAATAATAAATTCAAATAATTTTTAAAAGTCACCAATAAAGTTAGCTATATAGGAACATATAAAGGTGTTAATATGCTTTTTGTTTCTTTTTTCTATCATTTAAAAGACAGCTGCATAAAGCAGTAAGTGTAAGTTTCTGTTGATTGATACACAATACAAAATGATGTAAGTTTTGACAGTAACACAAAGGAGACAGGGAGGAAATAGGGCTATGTACAAACAAAGGTTTTATATACTATTGAAGTTAAGTTGGTATTAATCAAAACTAGATTTTTAAAATATTTATTTATTTATTTAAAATTCAGAGTTGCACAGAGAGAGAGAGAGGTCTTCCATCCGCTGGTTCACTCCCCAGGTGGCCGCAACGGCCAGAGCTGCGCCGATCCAAAGCCAGGAGCCAGGGAGCTTTCTGCGGGTCTCCCATGCGAGTGGGGTCCAAGGACTTGGGCCATCTTCTCCTGCTTTCCCAGGCCATAGCAGAGAGCTGTATTGGAAGCAGAGCTGCCGGGTCCCGAACCAGTGCTGATATGGGATGCAGTCGCTTCAGGCCAGAGCGCTAACTCGTTGCACCACAGTGCCAGTCCCCAAAACTAGATTATTATAAACTAAGATTTAAGTTGTAAGCTCAAGGTGGGCATTTGTTGGTTCAAATGCCACTTAGGATGCCTGCATCCCCTGTTGGAGTGCCTGGGTTTGAGTTCCAGCTTTGTTCTTTATTCCAGCTTCCTGCTAATGTGCACCCTGGAAAGCAGCAGATAGTGGCTCAGTAGTTGGACCCCTGCCACCTATGTAGAACATTGGAATTGCATTCCTGCTTTCTGGCTCTGGCTGAACCCAGCCCTGGCTGTTGCAGGAATCTGGAGAGCAAACCTGCAAAGGGGAGATCTCTGTCTGTCTCTTTCTTCCTTTCAAATAAATAAATAAATGAAAATTATTTTAAGAACTGTAGACAGAGACATAGAGATCTTTCTTAAAAATTTTATAATTTCTGAAGTAATCACTAAAAAGTAACTGAAGAAATATGATAGAAAAAATGCAAAAGGAATTAAAATAATATGCCAGAGGATATTTAACTCCACAAAGAAAGCAGTTGGGTCAGTATTGTGGTCCAGCGAGTTAAGCAGACATTTGTGATGCCAGGATTCCATATGGGAGTGCCCATTCAAGTCCTGGCTGTTTCACTTCTGATCCAGCTTCCTGCTTATGTGCCTGGGAAGGCAAAAGAAGATGGCCCAAGTAGGAGACCTGGGTAGAGTTCAGGATTCTGGCTTTTGCTTGGCATTTGGAGAGTGAGTCAGCCAATGGAAGATTGATTTCTCTCTCTCTCTCTCAAATAAGGAAATTATTTTTTATTTATTTTAGAATGCAGTCATGGAGAAGGGAGGAAAGCCATAAGATCTAGAAAATAAATATCAAAATGACATACATATGGGGCTGGCACTGTGGCATAGCAGGTAAAGCCACTGCCTGTAGTACCGGCATCCCATATGGGCAGTGGTTCAAGTCCTGGCTGCTCCACTTCTAATCCAGCTCCCTGCTAATGTACCTGGGAAAGAAGCAGAAGATGGCCCAAGTTCTTGGGCCTCTGTACCCATGTGGGAGACCTGGAAGAAGTTGCAGGCTCCTGGTTTCAGATCAGCCCAGCTCTGGCCGTTGCAGTCAACTGGCGAGTGAACCAGCAGATGGAAGATCTCTCTCTCTCTGCCTCTACCTCTGCCTCTCTGTAACTCTGCCTTTCAAATAAATAAATAAATCTTTTTAAAAAAGTGACATACATATACCCTTTTTTTTTTTTTTTTGACAGGCAGAGTAGACAGTGAGAGAGAGAGAGAAAGGTTCACCCTCCAATGGCCGCCGCGGCTGGCGCGCTGCAGCCGGCGCACCGCGCTGATCTGATGGCAGGAGCCAGGTACTTCTCCTGGTCTCCCATGGGGTGCAGGGCCCAAGCACTTGGGCCATCCTCCACTGCACTCCCTGGCCACAGCAGAGAGCTGGCCTGGAAGAGGGGCAACCGGGACAGAATCCGGCGCCCCGATCAGGACTAGAACCCGGTGTGCTGGTGCCACAAGGCGGAGGATTAGCCTATTGAGCCGCGGCGCCAGCCAATATATCTTTATTATTGACAGCTACATTAAATTTATATGTATTACGTACTCTAATAAAAAGTTAGAGATTGGTAGAATAGATAAAATAAAAATATATGATGTATGTGGTCTACAAAAGACGTAGTTTATATTAAAAGATGTAGATAGATTAAAGATAAAAAAATGGGAGCTGGTGCCCTGGCATAGCAGATAAAGCCACCAACTGCAGTGGCGACATCCCATATGGGTACCAGTTTAAGTCCCTGCCGCTCCACTTCCAATCCAGCTCCCTGCTATGGTCTGGGAAAGCAGTGAAGATGGCCCAAGTGCTTGGGCCCCTGCACCTGTGTGGGAGATCCAGAAGAAGCTCTTAGCTCCTGGTTTTGGATCAGTGCAGCTCCAGCTATTGCGGCCATCTGGGGAGTAAACCAATGGATGGAAGACCTCTCTCTCTCTGCCTCTGCTCTTTGTAACTCTGCCCTTCAAATAAATAAATAAATAAATCTTTTAAAAAATAAAACAATGGAAAAAGATATACCATGCAAACAGTACCCAGGAGTACTGGAATGGCTTTACCAACACCAGATAGAATTGACTACAGGACAAAATGTGTTATTAGAGATAAAGAAGAATTTTAAAAAAAAAAAACGATTTATTCATTTATTTGACAGGCAGAGTTACAGAGAGAGAGGGAGAGACAGAGAATCTTCCATTCTCTGGTTCATTTCCTAGATGATCACAATGGCTGGAGTTGAGGCAGGCCAAAGCTTGGAGCTTCTTCCAGGTCTCCCACATAGGTGGTAGGGGTCCAAACACTTGAACCATCTTCTGCTGCTTTTCCCAGGCCATTAGCAGAGAGTTGGATTTGATGTGGAGTAGCTAGGACTTGAACCAGCATTTATATGGGATGCTGGTATCACAGATGGTGGCTTTAACCACTATTACACAACACCGTCCCCATAACACATTAATGGGACACAGTTCTACAGCTCAACACAGGTATACAGTGCTCAGATCCATCAATTAGTATTTCAAGTTGCTTATCTTTATGTTTGGAGCCTACCAGCTCTGCTCTTCTACTTCTTCATATAGTGGATTATACATATTTTGAACTACGGTTGCCCCACTGTCCAGGTTGCGTAACTTTGGCTAAGTTGTTCAACTTCTTTCTGCTTCTGTGTCTTCATGTAGAATGGAAATGAGGTCCTGCTTCATAGGGTTGTTAAGAAGATTGATTGGATATATAAAGAGCATTTCAAGTCTGACACTTAGTGAGCAGTCATTCAATTCCCTCATTTTATAGGAGAGGAAATTGAGGCCTTCATTGGCAAACTGAGTTGTAGGTTTCACAGCCAATAATTGGTCATTCAAAGCTAGGTCTGTTGGTTCCAAAAATCCATGATTGCTGTACACTTCCTGGAATTGTGGGTGTTTTTTAGGCAGCTGTGTCTGAGACGCTGGTCATCCTACAAGGTCTCCAAGCTGGACCTGGGCGCACAAACTTGGAAAGAGTATTATCTCTGCCGATCTGAGCTGGAGTTCCGAATACATTCTGGGAGACCGGGGAAGGGCTTCATCTGCAGAGCACTTTCTGGGCATACAGGTACGAACAGGATAACGTAGCAGCTGTATCCATGCCTACTGCTCATCCCTCTGGCTGAGTCTCATGGGATCCGGCATGTCAGCCAGTCACTTGGAAAATGCCAGGTGATGAGTGCATGTTTGCTATCCACGTTGTCCCCTGCATGAGCACCTGTTTTGCTCCTGAGTCAGGAAGAGAGGAGTGGTTTTTCTGTCTGCCCCTTCACTACATTGAATGTTCAAATCCCAGGCCTTCTGTGTATGTGTGTTGTCTTCCAGGATACATAGATAAACTGGTCTACATCTCATCCAGTGAGTACCGGTTTGATGGGAGGGAGAAGCCCGTGGTCTATATTGTGTCTGTGGACCGTACTGTTCGTGCCTGGGATTTACTTGAGGTAAACTGGCCCCCAGGAAGGAAGGTGAGAATGAGACTGAGTCAGTCCTAACTGGGTCCTTCATCCCAGGTCTTCTGTCTTTATGAGCTTGTGTAATCAGCATGGAGAACAGAGGTGAGAGTGGGAGTTCCATATTTCAGATGAGAAATCTGAGCTTGCAAGAGACTCAGTTACCAAGCCAGGTAACTAGCATGGTAACTAGTGTGGCAGACCCATGTTTGAAACTCCAGTAAGAATGACGTCAGATGACATGCTCTTGGCTTTGTACTGCTTCAGGGAGGCGGACTTCACCAGCAGTGCCTTGTGGGGGCTGTGTTGGCACGTGCTTGGGAGGACAGCTGTGGTGCTATTCCTTGTACCTTTGTTGTGAGCTGGTTGGACTTTTTTGTTGTTGTTGTTTTTTTTGGACAGGTAGAGTTACAGACAGTGAGAGAGAGAGACAGAGAGAAAGGTCTTCCTTCCGTTGGTTCACTCCCCAAATGGCCGCCACGGCCGGTGCTGCACCAATCCAAAACCAGGAGCCAGGCACTTCCTCCTGGTCTCCCACGCGGGTGCAGGGGCCCAAGCACCTGGGCCATCCTCCATTGCCCTCCTGGGCCACAGCAGAGACCTGAACTAGAACTGGTGCCCATATGGGATGCCAGCGCCGCAGGCAGAGGATTAATCAAGGGAGCCATGGTGCCTGCCCCAAGCTGGTTGGACTTTTTTCTGAAACCTTTCAATCATGTAATGCCCCCCACTGGGGCTGGTGCTGGCCTACGGGGTGGTTTTTCCCAGATAATTACAGCTTGTAGTCACACCTCTCTGCAAACTAAGGGTTAAAATCTACATAACTTGATTAATATTTCCAACTTTGTTGGCGCTTATATATACTTTTCATATCCATTCTTACTACAACAGCCAAACTTTGGATTTTCTTTTAAAAGATTTATTTTGATTTTTTTTGAAACACAGAGATACAGAGAGAGAGAGAGAGAGGGAGGGAGGGAGGGAGGGAGGGAGGGAGAGAGGGAGAGAGAAGGGGAGGGAGGGAGGGAGGGAGATCTTCCATCCACTGGTTCATTCCTTAAGTGGCTGCAGTGTCTGGGGCTTTGCCAGGAAGAAGCCAGGAACCACGAGCTTCCTCCGGGTCTTCCACATGGGTGCAGGGCCCAAGCACTTGAGCCATCCGATGCTGTCCTCCCGGGTGCATAGCAGGATGCTGGATCAGAAGTGGAACAGCTGGGTCTCAAAGTAGCACCCATATGGGAAGCTGGTTTCTCAGGTGGCAGCCTAGCCTGCTACTCCACAACACCAGCCCCCAAATTTTGATCCAGCCCTCTCCCCTGATTACCCCTTTCTTTCCCTGAAGTTAATGATTATCTTTCTTTTTTGAAAAATGGGCTCAGGGGCTGGAGTTGTAGTGAGACAGGTTAAGCTGCCACTTGCAACACCTGCATCCCATATGAGTGCTGGTTCAAGTCCCAGCTATACCACTGCCAGTCCAGTTCCTACTAATGTGTCTGGGAAAGAGGTAGAAGATGGCCCAGAATACTTGGGCCCCTGTAACCCATGTGGGAAACCAGATAGGGTTGCAGGCACCTCTCTTTGACCAGGCCATTGCGACCATTTGGGGAGTGAACCAGCAGATGAAAGCTCTCTCTCTCTCTCCCTCTCTGTAACACTTTTATATAATAAAATCTTTTTTTTTTTTGACAGGCAGAGTGGACAGTAAGAGAGAGACAGGGAGAAAGGTCTTCCTTTGCCATTGGTTCACCCTCCAGTGGCTGCTGAGGCCGGCGCACTGCGGCCGGCGCATTGCGCTGAACTGAAGGCAGGAGCCAGGTGCTTATCCTGGTCTCCCATGGGGTGCAGGGCCCAAGCACTTGGACCATCCTTCACTGCACTCCCTGGCCACAGCAGAGAGCTGGCCTGGAAGAGGGGCAACCAGGACAGAATCCGGCGCCCCGACTGGGACTAGAACCCGGGGTGCTGGTGCCGCAAGGCAGAAGATTAGCCTATTGAGCCACGGTGCAGGCCATAAAATCTTTTTAAAAATGTGCTCTGTTTTCTGTATACTTATAATGTTCCTGTACTTTAGACTGCTTGCCTATATTGATTTGTGTTATGTTTTCCCATGCTGTTTTGTCCTCTGATCCTGGAGAATTCTTAGTTTTAAGGTGTCTCTGGCATCACTGTGTCTGGTGCCAGCAGAAGCGTCATCTGATCCCAGCCACCATAGTCCTCATGGGTCGTAGCCTGGGTTTCCCTCCCATGGGAAGCATATAGGTTAGGGACAAGTAGCAGGAACTGCCTGGCACGCTCCAGCATTCTGCTTCCCTGAATGTCCTTTTACATTCTGAAACAGGAAGGGAGTTGTGTTGCTTTTTGCTCACTTTAGTACCAGCCACTGGTAAATACTCTATATTTCTCTGAGACTCATGTGCCATTAGCCCAGTCCCTAGTGCTAAGGTCTGTACTGGTGATTGTTACATTACTTGTTTAAGCAACAGAAATCAGCTTATGGGGAAGGGAGAAATTGACAGAGGAATACTAAGGTATCTTGATTGGAAAAAGATAGAGAAATTATGATAAAAGTAACAAAATGTGTTAAAGAGATCATAATGACCACAAATTGGGAATACCTCTTCCCAGGCAGGCCTGGGGACTAGGGAGGAAGTCTTGGGCAGTGTCACTGGGCTCGAAACCTCTGTGTTTCCATTTTCAAAATCCCAGGAGAGAAAATGGAGTGGCGTCAGCTTACGGTGGTTGTTTTCTTTTGGTCAGGGCTGGCTGTGGCTGTGTCTCAGGGCACATCCCAGAAAAGACAGAGGTGGCGTGAGCAGGGCAGCTGCTGTCTGTGCAGCAGCAACTGTTTATTCATATCAACAAGCCAGAATTTACTTACAGATGAAACTGGGCTGCCATGAGAACCAAGTGAGGTAATGCGTGTGACAGTTCTTTGCAGACAGAACAGTGCATAGCCCAGGCCCCTGTTGCATCTGCCCTCCCTGTTCAGCCTGCACCTGCCTCTCCCCATCTAGTTGAGCTCAGGTAACCACTGGAAGTACTTCAGACACAGCATATGAACAAATGCCACACTCACATGCTTAGCCACCCTGGTGTTTTGCCGAGTCTTCATGGGGTAACCCCAGCTAGGTTACTGCCCTTCATTGATCTAGGACTCTCTTCTTTCCTCTACTGTTCTCCTATGGTGCTGTAGGGAGGGGTCATATCCTTTCAACCTGTGTCACCTTGAAGTGTGTATACTGTGGAACCTGGCACAGGGTAGGCACAGGTAGATGTATGTGGGTTGAATGCACAAAACTATAACATGTTTACAAAATGAATGGATCCCATGTCAGTCCTTATGCTAATTTTGTCATCACCAGGGCACGGAGATCTGGTACAGCCCTCTGTAGCCTGCCGCTCTGGTGAATTTGGTGACCTACCCTCAGCTGCAGCTGGTTGTCACAGTGGACACACAGGGATTGATCAAAGCATGCAAAGTAGAGACGGGGCAGGAGTGGGCCTCCTTCTTCCTACCAACCTACCTTTCTTCATTGGGAGCCTGTGGCCATCCAGAGGGCCGCCTCCTGCTGGTGAGTGGCTCTCAGAAGTCCTTTCAGGGTCTTGCCTCCTCCCAGGCTGTGGACACCACCATGAGCTAGGTCCCTGTCCCAGGGGGACCGTGCCTCTGTCCTACGCAGATTCCCTTAGGCTGTTCCTTGCCGACCACGAGGAGCGCAAACTCTTGTCCTCACTATTGGTTTCACACATGGCAGCAGCAAATCTCTGCAGATCTACTAGTGTAGCTCTCCCTTTCTTTCACCATGAGCTCCAGCTCTGTGGGCTTCTAGGGTTTTTGTTCCCACTCCCCTGCCTTCCTTTCTCTAGGCCTTTGCTCACACTTTCTTCTACCTACATTTTCTTCTGACTGCTGTATTCTTTTTGTTGTTGTTGTTGACTTCTGATGCCAGTTATTTCTGTTTAGATTCATCTTGCAATCATTTTCATTCAAAGGGAAGCAACCTTGGATTCAAAAGTAATGCTAGAAATCAAGTTAAAAAACAAGCAAACGAAAGTCTGTTTCAAAATCTTGCAAGAGATTACAGGCTAGGTATGGGCTGTCTTTGAAATACACTAAGTTGAGGTCAACCCAACAGTATTTTCTAAAACTCTGTGGATGAGGAAGGCAGATGCATACCCTCTAACACATGTACAAAGAGCACTGTCTAATATTAACATAGAAAGGAAAGGTAAGTTTTAATCAGCAGAGTGGAAATTTGTTGGGCAACATGTGGAACCTGGCACCTGACACCCTCTCCAGTTCCTGCCTCACTGCCTCCCACGAGCCCCAGCTCTAACTCCTGCCAGGCCCCTGCTTCCTTGGCAGTTCCCCTGCTCCCTCCCAACGCCCACTGCCAAACACACATCCATTCTTCCTCTTAGCTCCCCATACCTTCCATACATTTAGTTTATTCTGCATCAGTATTCATGAGTCTCTGAGCTTCTCACCCTGACCGCTGCATTCTTATCCTTCATCCCTGTTTTTCAAGTCCTTTCTAAGGCCCAACTCAGGAAAGCCTCTTTGACCAAATGCGATCCTTTGCCCAAGATGTTAAAGGCCTCCAGTTTCTGGGACATTTAGTTTAGAGACTGTTCTTCGACCCTGGAGAACGTTTGACCAGGGAGAAAAGTAATGATGGTGTTTATACCAGGTGAAGGACATGGTTCTCAGATGGAAATAGATCACTCACACATGGAGAAGGAGTATCAAAGGTGTGGGCACCTGGTATTCCCCCCAAAAAAAGGAGAACAGACATCCAGGAACAATTTAATAGTTAAACAAATCTAATCCTATAAAGGAGAGGAACTTAACAAACAAGAATATTAAATACATAATGAAATATTTATTTTCCTCCGAATTTGCTTTATGCAATTGAATGAATGTAAATTAATGAACAGAAATTTAAGTAAGTTACATGTAACAGTGAAACAATATGATAATGCAATTCCTTTCCAATTTTTCTCAAATTCATCTTTCTTTTTGAAATATTTATGTATTTGAAAGTCAGAGTTACACAGAGAGAGAGGAGAGGCATAGAGAGAGGTCTTCCATCTGCTGGTTTACTCCCGAGATGGCCACAATGGCTGGAGCTGGGCAGATCCGAAGCCAGGAGCCAGGAACTTATTCCGTGTCTCCCACGTGGGTGCAGGGCCCAAGGACTTGGGCCATCTTCCTGCTTTCCCAGGTGATAGCAGAGATCTGGATCAGAAGTGGAGCAACTGGGACTTGAACTGGTACCCATATAGGATGCTGGCACTGCAGGTGGCAGCTTTACCCACTACGCCACAGCACTGCCCCTCAAATGCATCTTTAAATCTTTCCATCATATGACTCATAAGGAAATTAACCAACATATTATGTGGATACTACAGGTAGATGTGAAATTTTAAAAGGTACTTATGACATATAAATTCCTCTAATGCATTAACAAGAACCTTCAAGATACTTGTGTTTTGGGTGTAGATAAATGTTAGAAACAATTATTCAGCTTAATACAAAGTAAGAATGCTTCTGATTGCTGTGTCAGGTTGAGACTGTTTCTCCTTTTTTGCTAATGAATGATTTTTAACTGTAATATCACTGCATGAACAAATATGTCTGTCACCTTTGAGTATGTAAGAAAAAACAAACACATGTTAAATGGACAAAACATTGCCCTTGAATCTTTACCAGACTCTCTGTACATCTTAACACTTTGAAATTTTGGAAACTTATTTATTTATCTAAAAAAAAATTTGTTTAGGGGCTGGCCCAGTGGCATAGTAGGCTAAGCCTCCACCTGCAGTCCTGGCATACCATATGGACACCAGTTTGTGTCTTGGCTGCTCCTCTTCTGATCCAGCTCTCTGCTTATGGCCTGGGAAAGCAGTGGAAGATGGCCTAAGTGCTTGGGCCCCTGCACCTGCATGGGAGACCCAGGAGAAGCTCCTGGCTTCATATTGGTCCGGCTATGCGGCCATTTGGGGAGTGAACCAGCAGATGGAAAATCTCTCTCTGTAACTCTGACTTACAAAATAAGTAATTATTTAAAAAGATATATTTATTTCCCCCTTTGTCAGTTTATTTTTGGTATGTGTATGCTTTCTTTTAATCTTTCCTTGATTAAGCAGTGGCTTGTTCATTTTTTAAAAAAGATTTATTTATTTGAAAGTCAGAGATACATAGATACAGAGAGACAGAGAGGCAGAGAGAGAGAGAGAGAGAGAGAGAGAGGGGTCTTCCATCCACTGGTCACTCCCCAATTGGCTGCAATGGCTGGAGCTTTGCCAATCCAAAGCCAGGAGCCAAGAGCTTCTTCTGGGTCTTCCACATGGGTGCAAAGGACTTGGGCCATCTTCCTCTTCTTCTTCTTTTTTTTTTTTTTTTTTTTTAAGATTTTTATTTATTTATTTGACAAGTAGAGTTACAGACAGTGAAAGAGAGAGACAGAGAGAAAGGTCTTCCCTCTGCTGGTTCACTCCCCAAATGGCCACAACGGCCAGAGCTACGCCAATCTGAAGCCAGGAGCCAGGTGCCTCCTCCTGGTCTCCCATGCGGGTGCAGGGGCCCCAACACTTGGACCATCTTCAACCGCTTTCCCAGGCCACAGCAGAGAGCTGGACTGGAAGAGGAGCAACCGGGACTAGAACCTGGCGTTGGGCCATCTTCTACTGCTTTCGCAGGCCATAGCAGAGAACGGGACTCGAACTGGCACCCACATAGGGTACTGGCACTGCAGGTGGCAGCCTTACCCACTACGCCACAGCGTCGGCCCCCTACTTTTTAAAAAATCTGATTATTGATTTCTACTTTGTCTCATTTTACCTTATAGAATGTATTGAGATTTCCACACAAGTGGACTGTATATTCAGTTTTTATGACTGTCTGATGTGTGCGTGCAAGGAAGGTGTATTCTCTATTATTGGGGTACAGAGGCCCAAATGTATGTTGTAGTCTTTATTAATTGTTTAATTCTTATTTATTTGCTTTTTGTCTACTTGACCTTAGACTGTGAGCAGAATTATCATTATTTTTATTTCATAACAATAGTGAAAAATATTTAAATACTAGTTTTATTGATGTATTCCACTAATTCTCCTTGTGTATGTTTTGTAAAGGTGATGTGGTGTTTCTTTGATTATAGGTGCTTGCAAATATTTCTTCTTTGTGAATTATAGCCTTTTGAATACATGGTAAAGTGACTATGGTTTCATTTCATGCTTGGGCTTGAATCCTGCTCTCTGCACTGTCAGGGTCTTACACTTTTTTTTTTTTTAAGATTTATTTATTTATTTGAAAGTCAGAGGTATACACAGAGAGAAGGAGAGGCAGAGAGAGAGAGAGGGAGAGAAAAAGAGAGAGAGAGAGAGGTCTTCCATCTACTGGTTCACTCTCCAGTTGGCTGCGATGGCTGGAGCTGTCCTGATCCAAAGTCAGGATACTGGAGCTTCTTCCAAGTCTCCCATGCAGATACAGGGGCCCAAGGACTTGGGCCATCCTCCACTGCTTTCCCAGGCCGTAGCAGACAGTTGGATCAGAAGTGGAGCAGCCAGGACTCGAACCAGCGTCCATATGGGATGCTGGCACTTGACGCAGTGGCTTTACCTGCTGCACCACAGCGCTGGCCCCTACACTTACTTTTTAATTGCACTTGCTTGGTGTGCCTTTACTTTTTCCTTCACAGTTGACCTTTGTTTTCAGTGCTTTCTTTAATATAGCACAGAGTTGTGGAGTGTGTCTTGTTAACCTGAAAATCTTTTATTTCAGTAAATAAGTTGTCATTTATTTTTTTAAAGATTTTATTTATTTGAGAGGTAGAGTTACAGACAGTGAGAAGGAGAAACAGAGAGAAATGTCTTCCGTCCATTGGTTTACTCCCCAAATGGCCACAATGGCCGGAGCTGCGCTGATCTGAAGCCAGGAGCCAGGTGCTTTCTCCTGGTCTCCCATATGGGTGCAGGGGCCCAAGGACTTGGGCCATTTTCCAATGCTTTCCCAGGCCACAGCAGAGAGCTGGATTGGAAGAGGAGCAACCAGAACTAGAACCAGTACCCATATGGGATGCCGGCGCTTCAGGCCAGGGTGTTAACCCGCTGTACCACAGTGCTGGCCCCTAACCTTGTGTTTTATTTTGTTAGGTTTACTGCATGATGTGGCTTGTTTACTGGCTTCCGTTCTCTGTATCTGGTTGCTTTCCTTTTTCACGTATAGGCTGGGGAAGGAAGAGGTAATACCTTTTGTTATTTAGGGAGCCTCTCATATTTTTTATTGTAGTGGTTGCCTTTATCATAATACATTCTGTGGTTCCCTTAAACTAGTTTTTCCTTTTTATTAGGCTTGCACTAGTTTATGTTGTTGGCTTTAAATGGTGTTCTGTTATACCCATGGCAATCAATAAACTGTTCTGTGTTATGTTTCTCCCTTCTTGTGCCATTTAATGATGCTTTATTTCTTCTTTTTTGAGAACATGTAACATTTATATGCTGTTCTTACTTTTCCCTACCTCTAGTTTTAACTCTTCAGTTTACAGTTTAATGTACTTCATACACTGCT